GAGGAGGATATGCAAGAGGAAAAAAGGTGAAGAAGGAGAAGTCACTCGAAAGATCAAACTTTATGGCGACTCTAAAGAACATTGGTGACTTGAGAGGAATGGAAACTAAAATAGAATCACATAAAAAAACAATGACTCCATAAAACCATAAATTTACGGTGTGTATAGATATATATATACATATAGAGAGAGATTTAGAGAGGGAGAAAGGCAAAATTGTGCAATGGGAGATCACATTCGGAACTAAGTATTTCTTGGGTTTGTGATGAACGAAGACTCATAAACCCTAAATACCCTTATGCTTGCTTTGACAATTCAACAGAGACTCATAAGCCCTAAATACCCTTAAGACCCGTCAATTTGCTCGGAGTTGATGTCTCTACTGGAAGATAATGTAATATCCTTTTTTAGTTGTTGAGCTTTATGAAAGGCTACAAATTTGAACTCCCTTTGAAGCTAAGATTCCCTAGGAGGAGGAGAAGAATGAGAAGGAGAAGGAGAAAAATGAGGAGGATAAGAGTGAAAAAGAAGAAGAATGAGGGAGGAGAAGGAACATGAGAACGAAAAGGAAAGGAGAAACTGGAGAAGAAGAAGAAATAGGAAAATTGGCAGGAAAAAGGAGTGAGGAGGAAAAATGATACGAAGGAGAGAGGGGGAGAAGAATGATGAAGAAAGAGGAGAAGGAGAAGCAACAAAAGGAAAAGGAGAAGAAGAAAAAGGAGGAGCGAGGAGGAGCATGAGGCTGGTGAAGGAGAGAAGAGAAGTCGCTCGAAAGATCAAAATTTTTGGCGTCTCTAAGGAACATCGATGACTTGCGAGAAACGGAAAAAAAAAAAGCAATAGAAAAAGAGCAATGATTCCATAATCCATAAATTTACAGGGTGTATACAAGCATATACACACATAGATACCTATAGAGAGAAGGAGAAAGGGAAATTGGTGCAATGATAGATTAAATTAGAAACTATGTATTTCTTGGGTTTGAGCCGAACTTACAGGCTTGCATTGACGATTCAACGGAGACTCGTAAGTCCAAAGCAGTGGCGGATCCATAATGGGGGCAGCTGCCCCCATTTGAAATTTAAAATTTTTAGGGCATAAGTATAATTTTAAAAGTTTTAAAATTTATTAGAAATTTTCCCCCACTGAATTTTTTTTAAAAGATTTATATGCAGTTATGATATTTTGACAAATATACAGGTCACTTATAAATGTCAAAAAAATTCCTTTAAAAGGCCAAATGCCTCCATTATGGGTCAGATTAAATTATATTGCTTTTGTGTTTTGAATAGTTTTATTGTGATTGGTTAAATAATTCTTATACCAAAGTTTAGTCTAATAGAACAATTATAGTTTACGTTTGTTTCGATTGATTGTTAAAATTCAACTATTTATGATTGAACCAAATTTTTTGGTTTAAATTTTTTTAGTAGGTGATTAGGCCTTATAGATAAATTTATAGTGAATTTTTTTTGTTGACACTTTTTGTTTAGTGCTCATATATATGAGTTGTTACTTTAATTGACGTTTTATTAATGAAATTATACTTTTGTGAACATTAGTAATTTTAATATTCATACGGTTTAGGTTGCTCCAACTAAGCAAAATTTTTGGCTCCGTCCCAGGTCCAAAGTGCTCCAAGACGGGAATATAACGTAATATCTCCTAGTTGCTGAACTTTATGAAAGACCACAAATTTGAACTCCCCTTGAAGCTAAGATTCCCTAGGAGGAGAAGAAGAATAAAGACAATGAGAAGGAGAAAAAAGAGGAGGATAAGAGTGAGGAGGAGAAGAAGAAAGAGAAGGACAAGGAAAAAAAAGGAGAATGAGAAAACACAAAAGGATGGAGGAGAAGGAGAAGCAAAAGGAAAAATAGGGCAAGAAGGTGGAAGAGATGCAGAAGATGAATTAGGAGAAATAGAAGAATGAGGGAGAAAATGGAAAAAGAGGAGAAAAAGGAGAAAGAGGAAAAGCGATAGGAAAGAGAGACGAGAAGAGAAAGATGAGGAGAAGATTGAAGGAGGAACAGTGGCAAGAGGAAAAGAAGAGGGAGNAGAGAAAGATGAGGAGAAGATTGAAGAAGGAGGAACAGTGGCAAGAGGAAAAGAAGAGGGAGAAAGAGAAGTAAGAGGAAAAGTAGGTGAAGGAGAAGGAGAGAAGAGAAGTCACTCAAAAGATCAAGACCCGTCAATTTGCTCAGAGGTGATGCCTCTTGATTGGAAGGTAATGTAAATAGCCCCTTTTAGTTGTTGAGCTTTATAAAAGGCCATAAATTTGAACTCCCCTTAAAGCTAACATTCCCGAGGAGGCGAAGAAAATAAAGAGAAAAAGGGAGGATAAGAGCGAAGAAAGAAGGGGAGGTGGGGGAGGAGGAGGAGGAGAAAAAGAAGAGAAATGAGGAGAAGGAAGAGGAAAAGTGAGGGAAGAAAGATGAAAAGATGTAGAAGATGAAGGAGAAGGAGAAATAAAAAAGNGAGGGGGAGGAGGAGGAGGAGAAAAGGAAGAGAAATGAGGAGAAGGAAGAGGAAAAGTGAGGGAAGAAAGATGAAAAGATGTAGAAGATGAAGGAGAAGGAGAAATAAAAAAGGANGTGGGGGAGGAGGAGGAGGAGAAAAAGAAGAGAAATGAGGAGAAGGAAGAGGAAAAGTGAGGGAAGAAAGATGAAAAGATGTAGAAGATGAAGGAAAAGGAGAAATAAAAAAGGAGGAAGAAGAATGAGGGAGGAGGGAGGAGGGAGGAGGGAGGAGTAGGAGTACGAGAGCGCAGAGAGAAAGAGAAAAAGGAAAATCAGCTGGAAAAAGACGAAGGAAAAGCGACAAGGAGAGAGGAGAAGAATGAAGAAGAACAAGAACAAGAACAAGAAGAAAAGGAGTAGCAAGAGAAGAAGGAGAAAGAAGAGGATGAGGATGAGAAGCAAGAGGATAAACTGGGGAAGGAGGAAGAGATGCAAAAGAAGAACTAGAAGACGAGGAAGAAGAAGAAAGAGGGAGGAGAAGGAAAAAAAAGGAGAAAAAGAAGGAGAAAGAGGAAAATTGACAAGCAAAAGGAGGGAGGCGGGAAAGTGGCGGGAAGGAGAGACGAGGAAGAGGAAAAGGAGGAGAAGATTGAAGAAGCAGGAGGAAGAGTGGCAAGAGGAGAAAGAGAAGGAGAAAGAGGAGAAGCAAGAGGAAAAGTAGGTGAAGAAGGAGGAGAGAAGAGAAGTCACTCGAAAGATCAAGACCCATCAATTTGCGCGAAGGTGATGCCTCTTGACTAGAAGGTAATGTAATATCCCCTTTTAGTTGCTGAGTTTTATGAAAGGCCATGAATTTGAATTTCCCTTAAAGCTAACATTCCCTAGGAAACGAAGAAAATAAGGAAAAAAAGGAGGATAAGAGTGAAGAAAGATGGGGAGGAGGAAAAGGAGAAGGAGGAGAAGGAAGAGAAAAAGTAAGGGAAAAAAGAGGAAGAGATGTAGAAGATGAAGGAGAAAGAGAAAATAGAAGAGGAGGAAGAAGAAGAAAAAAAAGAATGAGGGGGGAGTGGGAGTAAGAAAGCACAGAGAACGTGGAGAGAAGGAGAAAAAGGAAAATCGGCCGGAAAAAGAAGGGAGGAAAAACAATTGGAAGGAGAAATGAGAAAAAAAGGTGAGGATGAGGATGACAAGGAGGAGGAGGAGATGGAGGAAGAGTGGCAAGAAGAGGAGAGGGAGAAAGAGGCGAAGCAAGAGGAAAAGTAGGTGAAGAAGGAGATGGAGAAGGAGGAGAGAAGAGAAGTCACTCGAACGATCAAGACTCGTCAATTTGCTCGAAAGTGATGCCTCTTGACTGGAAGGTAACATAATAGCCCCTTTTAGTTGCTGAGCTTTACGAAAGGCCATAAATTTGAACTCCCCTTAAAGCTAACATTCTCTAGGAGGCGAAGAAAATAAGGAGGATAAGATTAAAGAAAGAGGGGGAGGAGGAGAAAGAAGAGGAAAAGTAAGAGAAGGAGGAAGAGATGTAGAAGATGAAGGAGAAGGAGAAATAGAAAAGGAGGAAGATGAAGAAGAAAAAGAAGAATGAGGGAAAAGTAGGAGAGCACAGAGACAAGGATAAAAAGGCAAATCGGCTGGAAAAATAAGGGAGGAGAAAAAGTGACAAAGGAAAGAGGAGAAAGTGAAGGACGAGGAGGAGGAGAAGAATGAGGAAGAACAAGAACAAGAAGAATAAGGAGTAGCAAGAGGAGAAGGAGAAAGAGGAGGAGGATGAGAAGCAAGAGGAAATGGAAGGGAACAAGGAGTAAGAGATGCAGAAGAAGAACTAGAAGAGGAGGAAGAAGAAGAATGAGGGAAGAGAAGGAAAAGGAAAAGGATGAGAAGAATAAGGAGAAACAGGAAAATCGATGGAAAAAAGGAAGGAAGATGAGTACATTGAGGAAGGAGTGGCGAGAGGAGAAGAAGAGGGAGAAGAAAGAAAAGCAAGAGGAAAAACAGGAGAAAAAGGAGAGAACAGAAGTCACTTGAAAGATCAAGACTCGTCAATTTGCTCGGAGGTGATGCCTCCTGATTGGAAGATAACGTAATAGCCCCTTCTAGTTGCTGAGCTTTACGAAAGGCCAGAAATTTGAACTCTCCTTACAGCTAGCATTCCCTAGGAGTAGGACGAGGAGAAGGATAAGGAGAAAATGGAGGAGGATTAGAGTGAAGGAGGATGAGCAAAAGAAAGAGAAGGGGAAGCAAGAGGAAAAACAAGTGAAGATGGAGGAACAAGGGGAAAAAAAGAAGAATGAGGGTGGAGAAGGAGCAGGAGAACAGGGAGAGAATGAGAAAGAGAGAAATCGGCTGGAAAAAAAGACAGGAATGAGAGAGAGAAAAAAGAAGGATGAGGAGGAGACTAAAGAAGAACAAGAAGGAGAAGGAGAAAAAGGATGAGAAATGAGAGGAAAAGCAGGGGGAGGAGGAGGGAGAGATGCAGAACATGAAGGAGAAAGGAGAAATAGAAGAGGAGGAAGAAGAAGAACGAGGGTGGTCAAGGAAAAAAAGAAGAAAAAGGAGAGAGAAAAAGCGATGGGAAAAAGAGATGAGAAAGAGAAAGATGAGGAGAAGATTGAAGGAGGAACAGTGGCAAGAGGAAAAGTAGATGAAAAAGGAGGAGAGAAGAGAAGTCACTCGAAAGATCAAGACCAGTCAATTTGCCCAGAGGTGATGCCTCTTGATTGGGAGGTAACATAAATGGCCCCTTTTAGTTGTTGAGCTTTATGAAAGGCCATATATTTGAACTCCCCCTTATAGGAAGAGGAGAAGGATAAAGAGAAAATGGAGGAGGATAAGAGTGAAAGAGGATGAGCAGAAGAAAGAGATGGAGAAGCAATAGAAAAGACAAATGAAGAAGGAGGAAGAGATGTAGAGGATGAAGGAAAAGGAGAAATAAAAGAGGACGAAGAAGGAAAAAAAAAAGAAGAATGAGGGTGGAGAAGGCGCAGCAGAATGGAGAGAGAAGGAGAAAGAGAGAAATCGGCTGGAAAAAAGGAAGAAAAATGACAGGAAGGAGAGGAAAAAAAGAAGGATGAGCAGAAGACTGAAAAAGAACAAGAACAAGAAGTAGGAGTAGCAAGAGGAGGATGAGAAGTAAGAGAGAAAAAGAAGGGGGAGGATGAAGAGATGTAGAAGATGGAGGTTGGAGAAATAGAGGAGGAGGAAGAAGAAGAAGAAGAAGAATGAGGGAGGAAAAGGAAAAAGAAGAGAAAAAGAAGGAGAAAGAGGAAAAGTGACAGGAAAGAGACAAGAAAGAGAAGGATGAGGACGAGAAGATTGAATGAGGAACAGTAGCAAGAGGAAAAGAAGAGGGAGAAAGAGGAGAAGTAAGAGGAAAAGTGGGTCAAGAATGAGGAGAGAAGAGAAGTCACTCGAAAGATCAAGACCCGTCAATATACTCGGAGGTGATGCCTCTTGATTGGGAGGTAACGTAAATAGCCCCTTTTTAGTTACTGAGCTTTATGAAATGCCATAAATTTGAACTCCCCCCTTAAAGCTAATGTTCCCTAGGAGGCGAAGAAAATAAGGATAAAAAAGAGGATAAGACTAAAGAAAAAGGGGGAGAAGGAGGAGAAAAAGAAGAGAAATGAGGAGGTGGAGGAGAAAGAAGAGGAAAACTAAGGGAAGGAGGAAGAGATGTAGAAGATGAAGGAGAAGGAGAAATAGAAAAGGAGGAAGAAGAAGAATGAGGGAAAAGCAAGAGAGCACGGAGAGAAGGATAAAAAGGCAAATCGGCCAGAAAAAGAACGAAGGAGAAAAAGCGACAAGGAGAGAGGAGAAAGGGAAGGACGAGGAGGAGAAGGAGAAAAATGTGGAAGAACAAGAACAAGAAGAATAAGGAGTAGCAAGAGGAGAAGGAGAAGAAACATAAGGAATGGAAGGAGATGGAGAAAGCGGAGGATGAGAAGCAACAGGAAATGCATGGGAAAAAGGAGGAAGAGATGCAGAAGAAGAACTAGAAGACAAGGAAGAAGAAGAATGAGGGAGGAGAAGAAAAAGGATGAGAAGAAGNAGGACGAGGAGAAGGATAAGGAGAAAATGGAGGAGGATTAGAGTGAAGGAGGATGAGCAAAAGAAAGAGAAGGGGAAGCAAGAGGAAAAACAAGTGAAGATGGAGGAACAAGGGGAAAAAAAGAAGAATGAGGGTGGAGAAGGAGCAGGAGAACAGGGAGAGAATGAGAAAGAGAGAAATCGGCTGGAAAAAAAGACAGGAATGAGAGAGAGAAAAAAGAAGGATGAGGAGGAGACTAAAGAAGAACAAGAAGGAGAAGGAGAAAAAGGATGAGAAATGAGAGGAAAAGCAGGGGGAGGAGGAGGGAGAGATGCAGAACATGAAGGAGAAAGGAGAAATAGAAGAGGAGGAAGAAGAAGAACGAGGGTGGTCAAGGAAAAAAAGAAGAAAAAGGAGAGAGAAAAAGCGATGGGAAAAAGAGATGAGAAAGAGAAAGATGAGGAGAAGATTGAAGGAGGAACAGTGGCAAGAGGAAAAGTAGATGAAAAAGGAGGAGAGAAGAGAAGTCACTCGAAAGATCAAGACCAGTCAATTTGCCCAGAGGTGATGCCTCTTGATTGGGAGGTAACATAAATGGCCCCTTTTAGTTGTTGAGCTTTATGAAAGGCCATATATTTGAACTCCCCCTTATAGGAAGAGGAGAAGGATAAAGAGAAAATGGAGGAGGATAAGAGTGAAAGAGGATGAGCAGAAGAAAGAGATGGAGAAGCAATAGAAAAGACAAATGAAGAAGGAGGAAGAGATGTAGAGGATGAAGGAAAAGGAGAAATAAAAGAGGACGAAGAAGGAAAAAAAAAAGAAGAATGAGGGTGGAGAAGGCGCAGCAGAATGGAGAGAGAAGGAGAAAGAGAGAAATCGGCTGGAAAAAAGGAAGAAAAATGACAGGAAGGAGAGGAAAAAAAGAAGGATGAGCAGAAGACTGAAAAAGAACAAGAACAAGAAGTAGGAGTAGCAAGAGGAGGATGAGAAGTAAGAGAGAAAAAGAAGGGGGAGGATGAAGAGATGTAGAAGATGGAGGTTGGAGAAATAGAGGAGGAGGAAGAAGAAGAAGAAGAAGAATGAGGGAGGAAAAGGAAAAAGAAGAGAAAAAGAAGGAGAAAGAGGAAAAGTGACAGGAAAGAGACAAGAAAGAGAAGGATGAGGACGAGAAGATTGAATGAGGAACAGTAGCAAGAGGAAAAGAAGAGGGAGAAAGAGGAGAAGTAAGAGGAAAAGTGGGTCAAGAATGAGGAGAGAAGAGAAGTCACTCGAAAGATCAAGACCCGTCAATATACTCGGAGGTGATGCCTCTTGATTGGGAGGTAACGTAAATAGCCCCTTTTTAGTTACTGAGCTTTATGAAATGCCATAAATTTGAACTCCCCCCTTAAAGCTAATGTTCCCTAGGAGGCGAAGAAAATAAGGATAAAAAAGAGGATAAGACTAAAGAAAAAGGGGGAGAAGGAGGAGAAAAAGAAGAGAAATGAGGAGGTGGAGGAGAAAGAAGAGGAAAACTAAGGGAAGGAGGAAGAGATGTAGAAGATGAAGGAGAAGGAGAAATAGAAAAGGAGGAAGAAGAAGAATGAGGGAAAAGCAAGAGAGCACGGAGAGAAGGATAAAAAGGCAAATCGGCCAGAAAAAGAACGAAGGAGAAAAAGCGACAAGGAGAGAGGAGAAAGGGAAGGACGAGGAGGAGAAGGAGAAAAATGTGGAAGAACAAGAACAAGAAGAATAAGGAGTAGCAAGAGGAGAAGGAGAAGAAACATAAGGAATGGAAGGAGATGGAGAAAGCGGAGGATGAGAAGCAACAGGAAATGCATGGGAAAAAGGAGGAAGAGATGCAGAAGAAGAACTAGAAGACAAGGAAGAAGAAGAATGAGGGAGGAGAAGAAAAAGGATGAGAAGAAGAAGGAGAAACAGGAAAATCGACAGGAAAAAGAAAGGAAGAGGAGTAGATTGAGGAAGGAGGAGTGGCAAGAGGAGAAGAAGAGAGAGAAGGAAGAAAAGCAAGAGGAAAAACAGGAGAAAAAGGAGAGAAGAGAAGTCACTCGGAAGATCAAGACTCGTCAATTTGCTTGGAGGTGATGCCTTATGATTGGAAGATAATGTAATAGCCCCTTCTAGTTGTTGAGCTTTATGAAAGGCCACAAATTTGAACTCCCCTTACACCTAGCATTCCCTACGAGGAGGAGAAGGATGAGGAGAAAATGGAGGAGGATAAAAGTGAAGGAGGATGAGTAGATGAAAGAGAAAGAGAAGCAAGAGGAAAAACAAGTGAAGGAGGAAAAGATGTAGAAGATGGAGGAAAAGGAGAAATAGAAGAGGAGGAAGAAGGGAAAAAAAGATGAATGAGGGCTGAGAAGGAGCAGAAGAATGGGGAGAGAAGGAGAAAGAGAGAAATTGGCTGAAAAAAAGGAGGAAAAACGNTAGATGAAAAAGGAGGAGAGAAGAGAAGTCACTCGAAAGATCAAGACCAGTCAATTTGCNGTGGATGAAAAAGGAGGAGAGAAGAGAAGTCACTCGAAAGATCAAGACCAGTAAATTTGCCCAGAGGTGATGCCTCTTGATTGGGAGGTAACATAAATGGCCCCTTTTAGTTGTTGAGCTTTATGAAAGGCCATATATTTGAACTCCCCCTTATAGGAAGAGGAGAAGGATAAAGAGAAAATGGAGGAGGATATGAGTGAAAGAGGATGAGCAGAAGAAAGAGATGGAGAAGCAATAGAAAAGACAAATGAAGAAGGAGGAAGAGATGTAGAGGATGAAGGAAATTGAGAAATAAAAGAGGACGAAGAAGGAAAAAAAAAAGAAGAATGAGGGTGGAGAAGGCGCAGCAGAATGGAGAGAGAAGGAGAAAGAGAGAAATCGGCTGGAAAAAAGGAAGAAAAATGACAGGAAGGAGAGGAAAAAAAGAAGGATGAGCAGAAGACTGAAAAAGAACAAGAACAAGAAGTAGGAGTAGCAAGAGGAGGATGAGAAGTAAGAGAGAAAAAGAAGGGGGAGGATGAAGAGATGTAGAAGATGGAGGTAGGAGAAATAGAGGAGGAGGAAGAAGAAGAAGAAGAAGAATGAGGGAGGAAAAGGAAAAAGAAGAGAAAAAGAAGGAGAAAGAGGAAAAGTGACAGGAAAGAGACAAGAAAGAGAAGGATGAGGACGAGAAGATTGAATGAGGAACAGTAGCAAGAGGAAAAGAAGAGGGAGAAAGAGGAGAAGTAAGAGGAAAAGTGGGTCAAGAATGAGGAGAGAAGAGAAGTCACTCGAAAGATCAAGACCCGTCAATATACTCGGAGGTGATGCCTCTTGATTGGGAGGTAACGTAAATAGCCCCTTTTTAGTTACTGAGCTTTATGAAATGCCATAAATTTGAACTCCCCCCTTAAAGCTAATGTTCCCTAGGAGGCGAAGAAAATAAGGATAAAAAAGAGGATAAGACTAAAGAAAAAGGGGGAGAAGGAGGAGAAAAAGAAGAGAAATGAGGAGGTGGAGGAGAAAGAAGAGGAAAACTAAGGGAAGGAGGAAGAGATGTAGAAGATGAAGGAGAAGGAGAAATAGAAAAGGAGGAAGAAGAAGAATGAGGGAAAAGCAAGAGAGCACGGAGAGAAGGATAAAAAGGCAAATCGGCCAGAAAAAGAACGAAGGAGAAAAAGCGACAAGGAGAGAGGAGAAAGGGAAGGACGAGGAGGAGAAGGAGAAAAATGTGGAAGAACAAGAACAAGAAGAATAAGGAGTAGCAAGAGGAGAAGGAGAAGAAACATAAGGAATGGAAGGAGATGGAGAAAGCGGAGGATGAGAAGCAACAGGAAATGCATGGGAAAAAGGAGGAAGAGATGCAGAAGAAGAACTAGAAGACAAGGAAGAAGAAGAATGAGGGAGGAGAAGAAAAAGGATGAGAAGAAGAAGGAGAAACAGGAAAATCGACAGGAAAAAGAAAGGAAGAGGAGTAGATTGAGGAAGGAGGAGTGGCAAGAGGAGAAGAAGAGAGAGAAGGAAGAAAAGCAAGAGGAAAAACAGGAGAAAAAGGAGAGAAGAGAAGTCACTCGGAAGATCAAGACTCGTCAATTTGCTTGGAGGTGATGCCTTATGATTGGAAGATAATGTAATAGCCCCTTCTAGTTGTTGAGCTTTATGAAAGGCCACAAATTTGAACTCCCCTTACACCTAGCATTCCCTACGAGGAGGAGAAGGATGAGGAGAAAATGGAGGAGGATAAAAGTGAAGGAGGATGAGTAGATGAAAGAGAAAGAGAAGCAAGAGGAAAAACAAGTGAAGGAGGAAAAGATGTAGAAGATGGAGGAAAAGGAGAAATAGAAGAGGAGGAAGAAGGGAAAAAAAGATGAATGAGGGCTGAGAAGGAGCAGAAGAATGGGGAGAGAAGGAGAAAGAGAGAAATTGGCTGAAAAAAAGGAGGAAAAACGACAGGAAAGAGAGGAAAAAAAGAAGGATGAGGAGGAGGAGACTGAAGAAGAACAAGAACAAGAAGTAGGAGTAGCAAGTAGAGAAGGAGAAGGAGGAGGATGAGAAGTGAGAGAGGAAAAGTAGGGGGAGAAGGATGAAGAGATGCAGAAGATGGAGGAAGGAGAAATAGAAGAGGAGGAAGAAGAAGAAGAATGGGGGAGGAAAAGGAAAAAGAGGAGAAAGAGGAAAAGCGACTAGAAAAAGAGATGAGAAAGAAAAGGATGAGGAGAAGATTGAAGAAGGAGGAACAGTGGCAAGAGGAAAAGAAGAGGGAGAAAGAGGAAAAGTAGGTGAAGAATGAGGAGAGAAGAGAAGTCACTCGAAAGATCAAGACCCATCAATTTGCTCGGAGGTGATGCCTCTTGATTAGGAGGTAATGTAAATAGCCCCTTTTAGTTGCNGGCGCAGCAGAATGGAGAGAGAAGGAGAAAGAGAGAAATCGGCTGGAAAAAAGGAAGAAAAATGACAGGAAGGAGAGGAAAAAAAGAAGGATGAGCAGAAGACTGAAAAAGAACAAGAACAAGAAGTAGGAGTAGCAAGAGGAGGATGAGAAGTAAGAGAGAAAAAGAAGGGGGAGGATGAAGAGATGTAGAAGATGGAGGAAGGAGAAATAGAGGAGGAGGAAGAAGAAGAAGAAGAAGAAGAATGAGGGAGGAAAAGGAAAAAGAAGAGAAAAAGAAGGAGAAAGAGGAAAAGTGACAGGAAAGAGACAAGAAAGAGAAGGATGAGGACGAGAAGATTGAATGAGGAACAGTGGCAAGAGAAAAAGAAGAGGGAGAAAGAGAAGTAAGAGGAAAAGTGGGTCAAGAATGAGGAGAGAAGAGAAGTCACTCGAAAGATCAAGACCCGTCAATATACTCGGAGGTGATGCCTCTTGATTGGGAGGTAACGTAAATAGCCCCTTTTTAGTTACTGAGCTTTATGAAATGCCATAAATTTGAACTCCCCCCTTAAAGCTAATGTTCCCTAGGAGGCGAAGAAAATAAGGATAAAAAAGAGGATAAGACTAAAGAAAAAGGGGGAGAAGGAGGAGAAAAAGAAGAGAAATGAGGAGGTGGAGGAGAAAGAAGAGGAAAACTAAGGGAAGGAGGAAGAGATGTAGAAGATGAAGGAGAAGGAGAAATAGAAAAGGAGGAAGAAGAAGAATGAGGGAAAAGCAAGAGAGCACGGAGAGAAGGATAAAAAGGCAAATCGGCCAGAAAAAGAACGAAGGAGAAAAAGCGACAAGGAGAGAGGAGAAAGGGAAGGACGAGGAGGAGAAGGAGAAAAATGTGGAAGAACAAGAACAAGAAGAATAAGGAGTAGCAAGAGGAGAAGGAGAAGAAACATAAGGAATGGAAGGAGATGGAGAAAGCGGAGGATGAGAAGCAACAGGAAATGCATGGGAAAAAGGAGGAAGAGATGCAGAAGAAGAACTAGAAGACAAGGAAGAAGAAGAATGAGGGAGGAGAAGAAAAAGGATGAGAAGAAGAAGGAGAAACAGGAAAATCGACAGGAAAAAGAAAGGAAGAGGAGTAGATTGAGGAAGGAGGAGTGGCAAGAGGAGAAGAAGAGAGAGAAGGAAGAAAAGCAAGAGGAAAAACAGGAGAAAAAGGAGAGAAGAGAAGTCACTCGGAAGATCAAGACTCGTCAATTTGCTTGGAGGTGATGCCTTATGATTGGAAGATAATGTAATAGCCCCTTCTAGTTGTTGAGCTTTATGAAAGGCCACAAATTTGAACTCCCCTTACACCTAGCATTCCCTACGAGGAGGAGAAGGATGAGGAGAAAATGGAGGAGGATAAAAGTGAAGGAGGATGAGTAGATGAAAGAGAAAGAGAAGCAAGAGGAAAAACAAGTGAAGGAGGAAAAGATGTAGAAGATGGAGGAAAAGGAGAAATAGAAGAGGAGGAAGAAGGGAAAAAAAGATGAATGAGGGCTGAGAAGGAGCAGAAGAATGGGGAGAGAAGGAGAAAGAGAGAAATTGGCTGAAAAAAAGGAGGAAAAACGACAGGAAAGAGAGGAAAAAAAGAAGGATGAGGAGGAGGAGGAGACTGAAGAAGAACAAGAACAAGAAGTAGGAGTAGCAAGTAGAGAAGGAGAAGGAGGAGGATGAGAAGTGAGAGAGGAAAAGTAGGGGGAGAAGGATGAAGAGATGCAGAAGATGGAGGAAGGAGAAATAGAAGAGGAGGAAGAAGAAGAAGAAGAAGAAGAAGAAGAATGGGGGAGGAAAAGGAAAAAGAGGAGAAAGAGGAAAAGCGACTAGAAAAAGAGATGAGAAAGAAAAGGATGAGGAGAAGATTGAAGAAGGAGGAACAGTGGCAAGAGGAAAAGAAGAGGGAGAAAGAGGAAAAGTAGGTGAAGAATGAGGAGAGAAGAGAAGTCACTCGAAAGATCAAGACCCGTCAATTTGCTCGGAGGTGATGCCTCTTGATTAGGAGGTAATGTAAATAGCCCCTTTTAGTTGCTGAGCTTTATGAAAGGCCATATATTTGAACCCCCCTTAAAGCTAATGTTAGGGGTAGAAATCGCGCGTTCGGATCTCATCCCTGAACACCAAGGATTTTGTTTCGGTGGACAGGACTCCCTCCCTCCGAAAGGATTTTGGCTGGACAGGACCCTTTCCTAAGGTAATACAGTAGCCTTTACCTCCATCCCACATCGGGTAGGAGTTGTCTGCCCCCTTGCCATATAAGTGAACACTTCCTATGGAGGAGGTACCCACTAGCGACCTGATCAAGTGCTAGTGGGTACCTCCTCCATAGGAAGTGTTCACTTATATGGCAGTGGGNCCAGAAAAAGAACGAAGGAGAAAAAGCGACAAGGAGAGAGGAGAAAGGGAAGGACGAGGAGGAGAAGGAGANAGTGGGTACCTCCTCCATAGGAAGTGTTCACTTATATGGCAGTGGGGGAGACGACTCCTACCCGATGTGGGATGGAGGTAAAGGCTACTGTATTGCCTTAGGAAAGGGTGCAGGCCAGCCAGAATCCTTGGTGTTCAGGGATGAGATTCGAACGCGCGATTTCTACCCCTAACAGCTAACATTCCCTGGGAAGAGAAGAAAATAAGGAGAAAAAGGAGGAGGATAAGACNAAAATGTGGAAGAACAAGAACAAGAAGAATAAGGAGTAGCAAGAGGAGAAGGAGAAGAAACATAAGGAATGGAAGGAGATGGAGAAAGCGGAGGATGAGAAGCAACAGGAAATGCATGGGAAAAAGGAGGAAGAGATGCAGAAGAAGAACTAGAAGACAAGGAAGAAGAAGAATGAGGGAGGAGAAGAAAAAGNGAGGAGAAAAAGAAGAGAAATGAGGAGGAGGAGGAGAAAGAAGAAGAAAAGTAAGGGAAGAAGGAGGAAGAGATGTAGAAGCTGAAGGAGAAGGAGAAATAGAAAATGAGGAAGCAGAAGAAGAAAAAAAAGAATGAGGGAAAACATGAGAGCAGGGAGAGAAGGATAAAAAGGCAAATCGGCTAGAAAAAGAAGGGAGGAGAAAAAGTAACAGGAAGGAGAGAGGAGAAAGAGAAGGATGAGGAGGAGAAGGAGAAGAATGAGGAAGAACAAGAAAAAGAAGAATAAGGAGGAGTAGCAAGAGGAGAAGGAGAAGAAACATAAGGAATGAGAGGGAGAGGGAGAGGGAGAAAGAGGAGGAGGATGAGAAGCAAGAGGAAATGCGGGGGAAAAAGGAGGAAGAGAGGCAGAAGAAGAACTAGAAGAGGAGGAAGAAGACGAATGAGGGAGGAGAAGGAAAAGGATGAGAAGGAGGAGCAAGAGGAAAATCGATTGGAAAAAGGAGGAAAGAGGAATAGATTGAGGAAGGAGGATTGGCAAGAGGAGAAGGAGAGGGAGAAGGAAGAAAAGCAAGAGGAAAAGTTAGAGAGAAGAGAAGTCACTCGAAAGATCAAGACTCATCAATTTGCTCAGAGGTGATGCCTCCTGATTGGAAGATAACGTAATAGCCCCTTCTAGTTGCTGAGCTTTATGAAAGGCCACAAATTTGAACTCTCCTTACAGCTAGCATTCCCTAGGAGTAGGAGGAGAAGGATGAGGAGAAGGATAAGGATAAGGAGAAAATGGAGGAGGATAAGAGTGAAAGAGGATGAGCAGAAGTGTTGGAGTTATAGCAGCCTAGGTTTTTTGAATTGTGTTGGGTTACTGATTTTGGAGTACTGATTTTGCTGGGTTCATTGGTTTATTGGGCTGTCTCGCTGATGGAGTTGGTTTATTGGGCTGTTGGTGGTTTATGTTGGTTGGTGGTTTATATGGTGTAGTTGGTTTAGGTGGCAGGCTGATTTTGTGTTGTTTGTGGGTTGCTGCTGATGTTGGCTAGGCTGTCGGTGGGTTGGGTTCTTGGTGGTTTGATTCTTGGTTTAGTTTAGGTGGTTTGTGGCTGTCAGTGATCTGGTGGCAGGCTGATTTAGTGTTGTTTGTGGGTTGCTGCTGATGTTGGCTAGGCTGTTGCTGGGTTGGGTTCTGGGTAGTTTGATTCTTGGTTTATCGCTGGTGGTTTGTTGGTGGAACTAGTTGGGTTGTTTGTGGAAGCTGTGCTGGTGAAGCTGTGTTGGTGGAGGATGTCTGTGGGCAGTGGGTTTGTCACTGGGTGCTTGCCGGTGGAGACTGGTTTGGTGTTGCTTGTTGATGGCCGGGTGGTTTCGTCGTGTTGCTTGTTTGGCGGAGGCTAGGGTTAGACTTAGAGTTAGGGTTGGTGGCTCTGATGTGAGTGAAAGGGATACAAACTAAGTGTAGAGCCCCCATATATATAGCCAATAAAAGTCACAATAAGGATAAAAAGGTAAAAAAATAAAAAATTTTAATAAACCCTAATAACCAAGGCTTCTATAACTCCAACAAGAAGAAAGAGAAGGAGAAGCAAGAGGAAAAACAAGTGAAGAAGGAGGAAGAAATGTAGAAGATGAAGAAGGAAAAGGAGAAATAGAAAAGGAGGAAGAAGAGAAAAAAAAAAGAATGAAGGCGGAGAAGGAGCAGGAGAACGGGGAGAGAAGGAGAAAGAGAGAAATTGGCTGGAAAAAAGGAGGAAAAAAAAAAGGATAAGGACGAGGAGGAAACTGAAGAAGAACAAGAACAAGAAGAAGGAGTAGCAAGAGAAAGAGAAGGAGGATGAAAAGTGAGAGGAAAAGCCCGGGGAGGAGGAGGAAGGAGAAATAGAAGAGGAGGAAGAAGAACAAGGGAGAAGGAAAAAGAAAAGGAGGAGAAGAAGGAGAAAGAGAAAAATCGACAGAAAAAATGAGGGAGGTGAGAAAGCGACAAGGAGAGACGAGAAAGAGAAGGATGAGGAAAGGGAGGAGAGGAAAAGCATGTGAAGGAGGAGAGAAGAAAAATCACTCGAAAGATCAACACCCATCAATTTGCTTAGAGGTGATAGTCCCTTCTAGTTGCTGACTATATGAAAGGCCACAAATTTGAACTCCCCTTAAAGTTAACATTCCTTGGGAGGAGGAGAAGGAGAAGGAGGAGAAAAATGAAGAAGAATAGGAACTAGAACAAGGAGGAGGAGACATAGCAAGAGGAGAAGGAGAAAAAGGAGGATGAGAAGTGAGAGGAAAAGCCGGGGAAGAAGGAGGAAGAGATGCAGAAGATGAAGGAGAAAGGAGAAATAGAAGAGGAAAAGATACAAAAGATAGAGGAAGGAGAAATAGAAGAGAGAAAAAAGATGCAAAAGATGAAGGAGAAGGAAAAATAGAAGAGGAGGAAGAAAAAAAAGAATGAGAGAGGACCTGGAGAGCAAAAAGAGAGAGAGATGGAGCAGGAGAGCAAAAAGAGAAAGAGAAGGAAAAAGAGGAAAGTCGGTAGGAAAAAGGAGGGAAGAGGAGAAGAATGAAGAAAAAGAAGAAGAAGGAGGAAGAGCAAGAGGAGAAGAGAAGAAATAGAAGGAAGGAGAAGGAGAAAGAAGAGGAGGAGAAGCGGGTGAAGGAGAGCATATAAGTCACTCGAAAGATTAAAATTTATGGTGACACTAAGGATCATTGGCCACTTGCAAGAAAAGGAAACTAAAACAAAATCACCGAGAAAAAAAACAAAGATTTTATAGAACCAAAAATTTATAGTGTGTATAAAGACATATATAAAAATAAGTACTTATATAGAGAGAGAGATTTAGAGAGGGAGAAAAGAAAAATTGTGTTATAGGAGATCACATTAGGAACTGCGTATATTTTGGGTCTGAGCGAACTTACAGACTTGCTCTGATGATTCATGTATTCAACGAAGACTCATAAGCCCTAAGTGTTGCTCAAAGGTGATGCCTTTGATGACTCATATCCCCTTTCATTGTTGAACTTTATGAAAGGCGACAAATTTAAACCCCTTTTGGAATTAAGATTCCCCACTCCTCTTGTCCCTCAACACAGGGGCGTGCAGGCCGTTGAGAGGACATGACACCCAAACTAGTTGAATTCTACTGTTGTTTCAACCAATCGAATATTCAAATGTTAACGATTGTTTTTTCTGAAGTCTTGTGTTGGAATGGTAAGAGTGGAAATTGGGAGGAGAGGAGGAGTTGTGTTTACGATGAAGTGGAGGATAGTCTGTTTGGAAAATTTGTTAGAATCTCCAAGTTGATAACGATGGAAGGAGAAAGGGCTATATTGTTCATGAAGAGGATGATAGAAAGGACTGGGGAGGATTTGGGAGAGTGTTGGATGGATTTTTACGTAGTCAAAAAAATGCTCTGTTTTTATAGAATAAAAGTAAGGGAGTAGTGATGGGAGATGGGATTGTAGAAAAGGCTTCCAATAAGATGGTGGCTAATGAAAAATTCCAAAAAGAAGAAAAGAGATGGAATAGTGCACTAATATACATTAAAGAAAGTCTTTTTCTTCCATGGAGAGAGATTCAAAGAGCTTTGTCAATCGTCTTGAATTTTGATGTGAAGTTGAATGTGTTTCAGACTGATAAGGCAATATTCTTCTGCCAAGATTGAAAACAGGTTGATGAAATTGAAAGTATACTTTGGAGGGATCAATAATGGTGAAGTTGCAAGAATGATGTCCTGATTCCAACAAGTTTCGCAGCAAAGCATCTTTTCTAGGAGGGGGGATTGCCGTGGAGGGGCTACCGTTTCACTTATGGCACTGGGAAATGTATTGGAAAATTGTGTGGTCATCAAAATTGACTGTCAAACAATGAATCGTGAGAATTTTTTTTAGGCGGATATCTGTTTTCATAAGCCGAAGTGTAGTTTCCTTACAATATCGTTGGATGTTCAGTTTAATAGAAAAATCTACCAGATTCAAATTAGGGTTTTTTNGAGAATTTTTTTTAGGCGGATATCCGTTTTCATAAGCCGAAGTGTAGTTTCCTTACAATATCGTTGGATGTTCAGTTTAATAGAAAAATCTACCAGATTCAAATTAGGGTTTTTTTATGTTTGGGAAAGATGAGTCGTTAAGAAAGGCCGAGTGTGTTTGGGGGTAATGGTACCAAAAATTCTTTGGATGGGGCCCATTATTATTACGGAGACTTAAAGGCGGATGGGCCATCCAGGCTGCATATCAGTGTTCATAAGCCAAAGTCTAGTTTCCTTAGGTTTGAGAAAGATGAACCATGAAGAAAGGCTGAGAGTTTGTGGGGGTAGTGGTACCAAAAATCCTTTGGATGGGGCCCATTATTATTATGGAGACTTAAAGGTGGGTGGACCATCTAGGCTTGGCCCATTTCTTCCCAAAAGGGAATTGATTTTCGGAGGGCTTTGGGGCCTGTTCGGCCTATGCTTTTACTATCTTCTTCGTCAACCAAGGAGAAGGTATTGTTAGGGCTAATCTGTCTGCAATTATTATGAGGAACAAAGACAAAGACGATTAAAAAGAAGCAGTGAGGAGTGCTCAAAGGAAGGCTTGAAATGGAGAAAGGAGATGATGCAAGGGTTAGATGATTATGCTTTATGAGGGAGTTACGAAAATATTGTTGATGTTGCGGTGGAATGGACTCGAGATGATTTCGATGGAGATACTTAAGAGACAACGAGATTTGAAAATGAATATAGTTTAACTAGCTAAAGCTTGTACCTAAAGGCACTCAATAACATTAAAAAATTGTCAATTAAAAAACCTACCAATTAGAAGATTACTAAATTACATCAAACTTGTAGAACAAAAAAATAGAAAGTAAAAAGGAAACGAAGACAAAAAATCCAAACCTACCTACATAGGCGCAAAAAAGTCAACGGTCGTTCATTTTTACCTGCTTCCAACCATGCTCAACACAAAAGCACGAAAGTTGATTTCTTCGTGGTGAAAGTGAACCAAAGTTGTTACCTTCAATGGCATAGTTAGGCCAAAGCCTCGCAATCATGCCCGTCAAAGACTAACTTGACTATTCCTGTAAGTTAAAGCTGAAAACAAAAACACAATGTACACCAGCTATCATAATTTGATATGTAAGCTAACCATACCTGAAGTGTTGGCAATGAGGAATTTGGAGCTTCAAGTGTCGGTGTAGATAATACGGTTGATGCAGTTGGACTCCTATAAACAATTTAATTTTAAGAGATGCAAGAAATGGTGGTCGCCATGGAGGTGAAGATGGCCCTCTCCCCCCCCCCCCCAAATTGTCCACAAACAGATTTCAATGTGAACAAGCCAAGGTTGTCAAGCAATGACATACAAAAGATGTCCGTTGATGGTCATACAACGACGACATACTAAAAAAACATGTTGTGATGGTACGCCTTACTCTTATAGTTTGAATTGGTGGTATTTAGTTTCTTGGTTTTGTTTTTGTAGGAATGTTGATCTTTTGATGCTATAAATTAGGATTTTATTTGATCATGATAATATTTTGATTTTTGTATGCTCAACAATTGATAGGAGAAGGGTATAATTTTTAAAGGTATGAATTACTGATTTTTTACCTACTACAAAGAAGATTACTTATTTTCTAATGTCCTTTTTCGCTATCTCACTGAGGAATTTGGAGCTTCAAGTGTTAGTGTAGATAATACGGTTGATGCAGTTGGACATAGCATTGCTTGCATATTAAAAAATAAAGAAAATCATAAAAGAAATAAAAAAGACAGTAATTAATTCCAAACTACTGCTACTTTTAACAACAACAAAGAAAAATATCTCAATTATTATAAATAATTTTTTTTTCATAAACATAACATTAGAATAACTAGGTAAAAATTTTAAAGAGCATGCGATAGATTGTCATTACAATAGGAAAAGAGAATTATGTGAATAAGAAATACTAGTATATAACTATTACTAAAATAGCCAACAAGATGTGAATGCAATATCAACAATGTAAGAATTATATCGAAATATAGCATAAAATAAACAAAGTAACAATAATCAACTTTTACTTACTAACAATAATCAACTTTTACTTACTTCGATATCAACCAAAATTCTAGCAAACTTGTACTGTAGTAGCATATGACTCTACCCTTTATGTATATATCAAGAAAAAACACAAAAATACAAATATCATTAGTTCTTATATGCAAAACTAGGGTGAGATAGATTATCAATACATTAGGAAAAGTAAAAAAGATATATAAGAAGTACTCTATATCAACACACTAAAAGAGCTAAAAAAATATGAAAGCAAATCCAACAATTTCTTGAGAATTATATGGAAATATAACATACAATATGCAAATAACAATAATAAGCTTTTACTTATTTCGACATCAACCAAAATTCCAACAAGCTGTATTACA